TTCGTCAGTTGTGGTCTATCCAGCAGTAACAGAATGTCATAAATGTAAATTGGGACATATCAAATACACTAAACAAAGACAAACAAACACTTTTAAAATTTAAAAATTGGAGAAGCTACATTTTATATAGAAGCCGGAGAGAGAATGAAGATAAAATAGACAAAATAGACAATAGACAAAATAGACAAAATAGAAGATAAGTAACTATCAACCAGAAATGAAAACCTTTTGTTTTAATTTAGAAAAAACTCTCCCTGCCGAGAATTCCCACAAAATATCGTATATTATAAGCGTCAATTATGTATTTACAACCTGGGTATCCATAGCGGCAAGGGTAACAAGGGGCATTGTTATGTTTGGATAGAAGGTGAAGCTGGCCAGGCAGCCCAGGATGTAGGCAGTTGAAACACATTGAAGAAAATTTTACTTCAGCCAAACATGTAATTTTGTGGTCAGACTCTTGTGGTGGTCAAAACTGCAACATCAAAATTCTACATCCTACCATTGAAAAGATTACATCTCTTTCTTGGTCATAGTCTTTTACCCAATGATAGTGATTTTGGAGAACTTGAACGTTTATATACCGTTGATAATTACCTAAACGTGATGAAGAAATCCCGTAAAAAGAACCTACTAGTAGTTCACACAATGAAAAAAGAATAATTCGTTGGAACAAAGAAGTTGGAAACTATGATTACAAACCGTAAATCAGACGTAAAAAACAGTAAGGTAAGCTAGCTTAAAACAAGAGAAATTGAAATAAGAAAGGATAAACCACTAACTATTTTTATGAAAACCGATTTTAACACTAGTGAAGTTGAAGTAAATCTTCACAAGAAACTTCAAAAAGGACGGCCCGTTGCAATGCAAGCCCTAAGTAACTACTTGATTCCTCTTTGGCCCACAGGCAAGCTACTTTCTGTGCTTAAGCTTAACAACTTAAGATCTTTAATCCATCTAATATCAAATGATGCAAAACCTCTGTATCGCCCCTTTTTCAGTAACAATACAGTAGAAGATAAAATTGACGGATTTGATAGAGACTTAGACTTTGGCATACAAGATGAGTAATGTTTATTTACTATTTTCATAATATTGAGAAAATTGTACACCTACTGTTAACACTGAGTTCAAGTTTTTTTTTCTATATTTGATTAATTTCTTAAGTAATATAGAGTATTCAAAACAACGGATTTTATTGTCATACCCAAAAAGAAAAACTAGCTTGTGGCCTACTAATCATTCACTAAAAGTGATATTTTAGTTACGCATTACTAGACCAAACGACTTTTATGTCTTTTGGTCTATTGATGTATAACACAATTACACAATGTGGCGAAGATCGTAAGTCGACCAAAAGCCTTTTTATTATTTATTTTTTTTCATTTTTCTTTAACATTAGCAAGTTACTATTTCGCACTTAGAGAAAACATAAAAAACTGTCTTCGAAAACAAAAAATTACGACCATTCTAACATATACTGAATTTTAATAAAGTGAAAACTTTGAAGACAAATATCTCAAAATCAATTTTTGGCGCTTGGTCTAGTGATGCATAACACCGTCCCTATACAGATTAAACGAAATAAATTCGGAACATAGGAAACATCATGTATTTCGGCTCATTTCTGCTGTAGGAGGTTGGCCAACAAAAGGTTGTCAAATAATTATATTATAAAAACCCAATACTCCTGCGGGCTGCTGGATTCTGAACTCATAAAAATTGAAAGCTACACATAAATCTACGATTTTATTATGCTGCCAAACCACTTATAGTCCAGGAAATGAAGCATTTCACCTCGTAATTTTTTCGTCCTGCGTGGATTAACTTGAAATTTTAACAGAAGGTAGGTAATAGCCTAAGGATCAAAATCTATATCGAACCAAAGTGCGCCAAAGCCTTGGGGGTGGTTGCCATCCCATCCTGGGGGTGAAATTTTTTTTTTAACGTTTTAACTACAGGTTTCAATTAAAAAAGTGATTATAAACAAAACATGTTCTATACATTTTTTTTTGTAAAACTGATATTTTTCAAGTTATTCTCGATTGAAAGTAACAACTTTTAGACGAAAAAATCGACGTTTTTAATCGATTTTTCGCGAATAACTCGAAAATGGTGCATTTTATCAAAAAATTGTAGAGAACAAATTTGTAGCTTTTAAAAAGACAAATACAATTCATTTTTTAAAATGTTTTTGCGATATAATTTTTTTTACCTTTGCACTAATGCAACATTTTTTAAAGAGCATAAATAGATCTATCATAAAAAAAGACTCTAGCTCAAACATTGAGTGAGTTATGATGAAAATACGGCCAATACCTCATTTTTATACGAAAAAATCGATGAAAACAACCCCCTAACCACTCCCATAACTAAAATCGATCTTCACACTTCTGCAATTCTCTTTGTACATGTATTGTTAATACGTCCAAGAAGTTTGACCCATTTAAAATGCTTAGTTTTAGAAAAAGTACAGCTTAAGGCGAGAAACGATTTACAATTTCATATTTTTTACCCTTCTTTTTTTAAATATCCCCGAAAATACTGAATATATGAAAGAAATAAAAATGTACTAAATTGTAGCTTTTTTAATGACTAAAATTATCCTTTATTTAGATTTGTTGTACAATGAATATTTGGCGAGATATAGCCGTTTAAAGCATCGATTTACGATCAAGTACCATCTTTTTCGAGCCCTTTAAACTCACCTCATTTAAAAACCAAGGGTTTCAAAGAGATTTAATTCACAGATCCTTGCTTTAAAAACCTCTACAAAATCGTCTTTGAGGAAACACTCTATCGTTAAAAATGAACATAAAATCACAGATCCTTGCTTTAAAAACCTCTACAAAATCGTCTTGAGGAAACACTCTATCGTTAAAAATGAAGGAAATTAATTAATTTGGTTTAAAAAAAATTCCAAATAATTTTTTGGGAAAATTCCATTACTATAGTACAGTACATTTTGAAGCATAATAATCTACAAAACCGGTATATTAGGTACTGGGGCGTTATACATTCGAAATTTTAAGCGTTCTTATTTTGAAATCCCATACAACAGAATAAAACATTTGCTCATATGTTTATGGCTTGGCAATGAAAATATCAGAGCAACAGACTGGGGATGGTATTCCAAAGATGGTTTGTTATTACTCGTACGCATGAACAAACAACCTGCACCTGATGAACTTTTGAAAATTATTTTTTGCCAATGCAAAAAAGGATGCGGCGTTTCATGTGGGTGCAGAAAAGTTGGTTTATACTGTAACTTTACTTGTTCTGGGTGCTCAGGTGAAGGGTGTAATAATAGACCACCAATAATTGAAGAAGATGAGGATGACATAGATCACGATGAAGATGTAATTGATGACGAATAAAATTAATATTATAATTGTTTTACCTATAAATGTAAATATTTTCAACTATTTATGTAAATGTATAAGAATATATTGTGCCTTTTTATGTTGATACATTTTTTTTGTATTTAATTCTACTTTTTTCAATTTATATCTATTAAATTAGTTTATAAACTGCACTCTTTACAACTGCAATGTTGTAAAGGGTGATTTTCAAAAGTTGAAAAGTTACAAAATTTTGGCAAAAAATTGTTTTTACCTATAGCACTCATAACAATTGATTTTTAAGGGTTGAAAATGTATGAAATTGTATTTTAAAGTATAAAAAAATCACTATTTAACTAATCCAAACCAAATTTCACTCATCTTAAGATTTGTAATGTAATTTTACAATTTTTTTAAATTAGGGGTAGTTTTCACCCCTAAGAACAATCAGGGTTCATCGGCATGACATAAACTATAAAGCAGAGGATGAGTTAAGCTTAATTCCAATTTTTAATGCAAATCGTTCCAAGGCGAAATCATTTTCTTCGCATTACTCATTTTTTACATTATTCTCCAACAACGGTCGCTTTTTAAGGGTTGAAATATGATGGAACTTTATTCAAAACCACGAAACTATCATTATTTAATTAATTCAAACCAAATTTTACCCATATTCAGGTTTAATATGTTATTTTATAATTTTTGACAATTAGGGCTAGTTTTCACCCCTAAGAACAATCAGGGTTCGTCTACATGACATAAACTATAAAGCAGCGGGTGAACTGAGCTTAAATCCAAATTTTTATCCAAATCGATCCAAGGCGAATTTAGAATTAGTAATTTTTTTACATTAATCTCTAACAAGGGTTGCTTTTTAAGGGTTGAAATATGATGGAACTCTATTCAAAAGTATAAAATAATCATTATTTAACTAATTCAAACCAAATCTTACCCATATTCAGGTTTAATATGTTATTTTATAATTTTTGACAATTAGGGGTAGTTTTCACTCCTAAAACCATTCAGCGCAATTTGTTCGATATAGATTTTTATCCGTGGGCTATCACCTACCTTCTGTTAAAATTCAACTCAATTCATGCAGGACGAAAAAAATTGCGAGGTTTTAACTTTTTTCGAGCTTCATTTCCTGAACTATTAAAAACTTCCTTAGACAAGCAACATTGTTACACAAACAACAGGTATGGATTTATTTTTGTCCAAGTTTTATATTGGTCCACTATTTCAAATGCAGTTCAATCAGACATATATTAAATTGTATGTTCCGTTTTGAAATTCGTTCTATCTGTACACTCGTTGTATCTGTATACGAATTTATTCTATAAAACATAATGTACAATTAAAATCAAATGTCATTTAGATATGTTAAAAAAATAAATGTTTAATCTTCTAGTTGTAATTATTAAAATATTCACTTTTTTTACATAGAATAATTATTGTTATGAATTACAGTTTTCTCCTGAAGTCACACAATCGTGACGAAATATTGAAACATAAAACAAATAGAGTTTTAATTCTAACAGACTGATTGCTGATACTATAAATCAATATACATATATATATATATATATATATTATATATATATATATATATATATATATATATATATATATATATATATATGTATATTTAATACTTACCCTTACTATATACATTTTAGAAGGAATGGCAAATTGTTGGCCTCCAAAAGAAAATACTACATTAGGGAGATCTTTGAAATTTGTGTTACATTCAATATAGTAAGATTCTTCTACACCGGAAGTATACAATTTTGCACCGATGCCCTAAAAATATTATCATATTAGTATTAAATGAATCCATGATATTAGATAAATATGAGTATAAAGAGACACTGAAGGTTCAGAAATTAATTTCTCGTTTTTAACATGAACTAAAATGTCTATATAAATATTATGTATTTATTATTACAATTATATTATTATATGCCTTTGGATTGACGTCACTAAAACCGTGACTATCTTCATCTCTATTTAGTTTTACCCGGTATTAGGTTAAGGTTAATTTGGTGATATAAACAAATGTTATATTAATCAAGATAAGATTTTTGCCAACACACAACAGTATTACGCTTATAATAAAAAATTTTTATTTTTATATAACTATTATATATTTCTGTAAAATACCTTTTAAAATATACTGGAACATTTTAAAAGTTTTAATTTTAATTTTAACTTGTGAGTTGCATCTTATAAACACTTATCTATCTAAGCCATAATTTTGACAACATTTCTAATATTTCAACATCGATCTGGCACCAGTAGAACACCTCCAACAAATAATACTACTACTCAATAGAAGGTTCAAACACAAAAACTTACATTCTTCAAAGATGGTAGCATGTATAAGTTCCTTATAACTATCGAATATTTAACGTATAAGATTTATTTGATACGCCCCTGGCTAAGTATGTAATTTCTTGAATTGTTGTTTATGTTTGCGACGCATCTAAGAGAAAATTTAACTGCGTTGTAAAATAATTGTCATATTACATTTTAACTTCTACAATTTTCAAAAACAAGCACCCTGTGATGTCCTCTCGTAGGAGTCACTATCCGGGTAGCTTTTAGACAGTCAGAGACAGAGTTCAAAACAAAAATAAAACTTTATTGTCTTCCTTAAATTAAATTGACAAAAATCTTATGTACATATTTACAATTTGGTTTAGTCTTCTCAGTACCTGGCCTATTTATTCAAATTAAGTTTGACCTTATCATATGAAATTAGTCTTATCGGTAAGCGAGTGTGTATTTGAAATTTTACGGGAACGTTGTATCGATTTAATAACCGCGGACGATAGGTACAAAGAAAGGAAAGGAACTCAACACGTCCCTTAAGTGATTCGGGTTAACAGGACACTCCTCGACAGTCTCAACACGACTGCTTCAGAGTACGGGTAGTGAAGAGCTCAACACGCTCTTCGGGTAACGGCGGTATGGGACGGAACAACTTGTGAACTCAACACGTCCACAAGCCGGGGTAGGGAAGAAGAGAACCTTTAGTCAACACCTGTCGATTCTGTCTCTATGAGGAAATGTTGCGGTTTATATAGCGGAGCTTGGTAATTAGTTTTGCCCTTTCTACTGTCGATACACTCCTTCTTCATGGGTTGGTTCGCGCGCACGCTGGTTTAACGGTGATGGCTTGGACTCATCGTTACAACCCTTAACGAGAGCGTCACGAGATTCAGATTCCGAGGGCAATAAGATGGATGAAGAGAATTAGATGATAAGTGACAAAAGTGAAGAAGAAAGCGTAGTGATAAGAATGATGAAGAAGGCGAAGGAAGGTACGTACCAACCAGGTATTTGGTTTCATACCGATGGAACTTTTTTACCCACGTTTTTCGGTTCCATCAGAAAAAAAAGTCGATTGTACTCTTCCTCATACCATGACTGAAATAGAAATGTTTCTAAAACTCTTTTCCAGGAGCCTCACTCGACATATTGCACATTGTACGAACTTACGTTTAGAGAAATTTGGAAACGACACCAAGAAAAAAAGAATTCCTACTGATGAACATGAAATTATGATTGTATTGGGTGTCACACTAGTCATGGCATACAATCAAGTCCCATCTTTCAATGATATTAGTCACAAAATGATTCTCTAGTAAATTTAGCAATAAAAAGGGTAATTTCTCGAGACCGCTGTAAACTGATCCTTACCAAAATGTATTGCGCTGAGAGGGTAAAGCCTGACAATGCGAGAAAATCATATTACATCGAGAATGTCGCTAATTGTCTAAAACTAACTTTCCAAAATATCGAATAGAGGCAGCTTTTCAAAGCATTGATGAGTCAATGGCGAAATTTAAAGGAAAGTCTTTCCCTAAACAGTTCCTACTCATGAAACCCCTCAAACGGGGAATAAATATATGTGTACGAAGCGACTCTGCAACAGGATATGTCTTCTTCTTCCTTAAGTTCCACTCCTATCGGAGATTGGAAATAATTCTGGCAATTATAATTTTATTGGTTACTCGCCTGAATAGTTCAATTGAACTGCATCCAAACCATTCACGGAGATTGCGTAGCCACGAGATTTTACGTCTTCCTACGCTTCTTCTACCTTTGATTTTACCCTGCATTATATTCCTTAGTAGTTCGTACTTTTCACCTCTCATGATGTGCCCCAAGTATTCCAATTTCCTGATTTTTATGGAATTTAAAACTTCGCATTGTTTTCCTAGTTGTTCGACAACTTGTTCGTTTGTTTTGCGATCCATCTATGATATTTTCAAAATGCGTCGGTAACACCACATTTCGAATGCTTCGAAAAGGGTAAAGAAAATATAACATCGAAGCATTCTTATCCGGAGCGATATATTGATATCGCGATTACAAAAAAGTTTTCACATTCTATTAAAAGTTGACCGCGCAATTTCAATGCGGCATCTTATTTCTACGAATATGTCTACGATTTTAATATTTACAAGAGAAAAGGAACAGGAAATGATACTAGTTTATTATTGAATGCAGATCATATTTTGGGCTTGTATGACTTTGATAGGAAGTCTACCAAATGGTGGAAGAAGATTTTATTTGAGAGATTTGTGAAATGGCCCGTGAGGGGATTTGACAGTTACCTCCATCGGGTGCGTCCCTATGGGAATTAGGGGAAGCTCGCTGGGTCTACAAGCCAGTAGATTCAGAGGGTAGTGAGGAAATAAAATACTCACAGTGAAATAAAAACTGTCCTTGCGCTCCAGAATGGGGGTTGAGGCATCAGACTGGTTCTCTAATACTCGGAAAAATCTAAACTTACCAAACAACCTAACAGAAGCCTCGGGACATTTGACGGATCAAATAGACGACGGACATGACAAAGAAAATGGAATATGAGTTTCGCTACGTGGAATGTACAGGGTATTAGACTGAAAACGGATATCATTGCATCAGAAATCCAGAAACTAAACATCGATGTAGTAGCGCTAACAGAGACCAAGAAAAAAGGACATGGTACTGAAGTTATTGGAGAATACATTCAATTTTTTACTGGAGTTCCAAAGGAAAGAAGAGCAGCTAGAGGGGTATCCATATTAATAAAGAAAAACTGTAAAAGCAAAATTACAAATTGGGAAGCTGTAGATGAAAATATCTTAACGGTAAACTTAAAACTACACGGCCATAACATCGCCATTATCACGGCATATGCTCCATCAGACGACGAAAGAATAGACATTAAACACGAGTTCTTTGACAAACTTGACGAAATCCTTCCTAGGAAATATTGGAAAAAATAGAGAAATTATAATGATGGGGACTTCAATGGAAGAACGGGAAAGATGAACAATAGCCCAGTTGTAGGCCCATTTGGGGAAGAAGTAACCAACGATAATGGCCAAAGGCTGATGCATATGTGCGAAACCCACAATCTCAGAATAAACAACGGATTCTTTAAACACAAAGATATTTACCGCTACACATGGACACAGAATACCCGCAACCTAAAATCCATCATTGATTATGTGATAAGTAAACAAAAAACAAATATAGAGGTGAACGACGTAAGAGTATTGAGAGGACTCACTTTCAGATCAGATTATTTTGTATTAAGAGCCAAAGTAAGAATAAAATTTAGAAGAACAAATCAGGCCAAAGATGAACATAACAACGATTCCGTACCCACCGACGAAATGTGTACAACAAAGTATAATTTTAAAAGTTTTAACGATAAAAGTACAGTATTTTTTTATCAGAGGCGCCTTGACAGCAAACTATCAAATGCGGAAGAATGCACCTTTTATGAAATCTATGAGAACGTTAGCGAAAGTCTAAAAAATGCCACCAGAGAAGCAGTAGGAATAAAGACAAAGGAGATAAAAAAAATACTGGTGGAACGAGGAGATATAGTTACTAGTTCAGGAAAAGAACCAAAAATATTTAAAATGGTTGGCAACAAAAAATGAACAAGATCTGGAACATTATAAACAAACAAAAAGACAGTTAAGAGCGGGCATTAATTTAGCTAAGAACGAGACGTGGGATAATTAATGTGAAGAAGTTAACAATTATATCGGAGGAAGGAAATGATCGGAGGTATGGAAATTTATATCAAATGTCAAAAACCCAGCAAAGGACAGGGCAAATATCCAGATAATCAAACCGGAGCAGTGGATACAACACTACAAAGGTCTACTATAAGAAACTAGACAGAAATACATGATAGAATCTCCAAAACATTTTGTAGTAAATGGAGAAGAAGTAGAGGTATCCGAAGAAACAGTAAAAGACAGTTTTGAACCTTAAGTTAGGGAAAGTTAGTGGACCAGAAGTGATTTTCTCCGAAATGTTAAGATGGGGAACGGAAAAACTCTTTAGAAATCTAACAATAATTATCAATAAATGTCTTATTCTAATAAATGTTTCTCTGAAAAATTTTGATGAAGTTTCTTAAGAAAAAATTGAATTTATAAACAAAAATAGAATAGCTACAACCAGCCTAAATGTCATAAATACTAACTTAAAAATTTTTATTTTTGACATATTGTCAAAAATAAAATTTTGTTTAAAAAATTCTTCTTTGTTTAGTAACAAAAAAGAAGAAGATTTATTCACCATTGATAGATGCGCGAAAAAATGTAACAAATACATGGAAAATTCAAAATGTGATATTTTACTGACTGCATATATAAATTAAATAGAAATTATATAATTATAAATTTTGCCTTAAATTTTGAATTTCTGACCTTTTGTTTAAATTATTATCACTTTTGCTAATACAAACCATTTCCAAAAAAGATCTTTTAAATTTATTACTTTCA